AGGAAAAATAATCAAAAACAACGAAAAAAGTACAGAAAAGACAGCGATACTTAACTTTGCGACAAATAAAGTACAAAGAGGCTGCAGATATATTGCTTGTTTAAACTTTGTCAAGTTTGTCAAAAGAGTTTTTTGTGCAATAAATCGTATGCAAGAAAACATAACAAGAGTTTCTTTAACTCTGTTGCACTTTGTACATCATCTGTGAGCTTGTGAGAGTGGTTGGTCAGTGTGTGTCGGCCTACTTTGGGGAAACTGCCCTTTTGATCTCTGCTTGTCATTGTTGGGTGACAACCCTTTGATGTCTGATGGTCATTCTTGAGTAACTACCCTTTGATGTCTACGGGTCGGTTTTGGGTGACCCTCTTTGATGTTTGATGTTCCATGTTGGGTGACCGCCCTTTCATGTCTGAAGGTCATTGTAGAGTTACCGCCCTTTGAATTCTGATGGTCCTTGTTGGGTGACCGCCCTTTGGGGGGGGAGGGGGCATTGTTGGGTGACCGCCCTTTGATGTCTGATGGTCATTGTTGGGTGACCGCCCTTTGATGTCCGATGGTCAATGCAGCCGGCGTCTGTGATGTGAACAATGGAAGCTATGTCAAAGCAAGGACCGACAATCGGTGTCGGTGATTTTGAAGACAAATACCCCTCTTTAGGGGGACGCTTGACTCCACTATAAAAGTGAAGGGGTCTGGACATTCCTTCAGTTCAGCATATCGCTCTCGCAGTGACAGGTTGGATACGTCTTGTATTTTCCTCTACAGAATTTCTCGACAACTCGGCAGATATCTAGCATGGCTACTCTCACGTTTCCCGATGTCACCGTCATTCGTGATGGAGACTTTCTGAACAATTTCAACTTGAAGTTTGTGCGTGTCCTTGCCAAGAAGAAGAATTCGCTAGTTTTGGAAGCTTCCATGAAGAACGACGACTCCATTCGTAAGGCAATCAAGAAGATCCCTTACCTGGACAGTAAAGGACGACATCGAGGTCTCGAGGACAGCACCGAGGAGTTGACCATCATGCACAACGTTCAGCACCCGCACCTCATGAAGATGGACTGGGTGGTCACGTGTGACAGCTTCCTGGCTATCTATATGCCCCTGTGTTCTCAGGGATCTTTGGATGGATTGCGTCAGTCGCTCCAATGGGACCAAGTGGAACGGGTTTTCGTACAAACCGCCTGTGCCCTGAGATATCTCCACGACCAGCGCTGTGTACACGGGGACGTGAAGCCAGACAACATCTTCCTAGACGCCTCCGGCAACGCCATCCTCGGAGACTTTGGTTGTTCTCAGATCTTACCTGATGGAGAAAACACCGTGAGTCGCTGGAGAGGAACTCTGGGATACCATGGACCTGAGTTTTTCCTTGGTTACAAATTCGACCCTTTTCTGGTAAGTTTTTCTTCTTTATTTTTTACGTTTCAGCCTTGATTTGTTGTGGTCATTACACAGGTTAGACGTGCGTTTTTAGCACACAGAAAGGTATCTGCTGTTTGTGTTTATTCTGCCAAAGAAATATTATTACTTTTATGTCTACGCTTTCACCCTTTTGTCTAATTCATCGGTATTAGGGTGTCATCACTTTTATTACACAATCTATCTATATTATTTGTAGCATGATATCGTTATCAATTGCTTCAATTTTTATGATGTTTGATATTAATGTAACGTGATTCCGATGTCTAATGTTCCGGTCATTTGTTTTCTTTTTTTTCAGATGGACGCATACGCACTGGGAGCCACGCTGTGGTCTCTGGTTTTCAGACTCAAACCAGCAGACCTGGATCTACTGGACGTTGTGAGGAATTTTTCTCTGCCCGAAATGTTCAGGTAAGACAGCTATAATACTGTCATGGTTTACTGAATTGTATTATATATTAGAACGCAGTAGAATGGTTTCCACCATAGACGTTTTCGTTGTATGCTTTGATGTGAAAGTATAAATTGTATTGAAACGTTGATGAAGTTCTGTGTGGATACGGGGCTTAAATAAACTAAAACATTTTTATATCTTTGACAGCATTTTTTTCATATAACTGAAGACTTTTATGTTTCAATTATTATACATTACTAATACCATCTTGCATCGCTTGGTATCCAGTTATATATCATGTTATGTGTCATCTTTGAAGCATTTTAAACGCATGTTATCATTTCTTTTTACTAATATTTAATTTGTTAAAACTTTTCTAACCTCAATCTGTATTTGTTTTCCTCCACAGAGAAGTTCTGAAAGGACTTTTGCGCGGAGATCCTCAGAAGCGACTGTCTGTTCCCGGCCTCTTGGAGTTCTTGTCTACTCGTGAGAAGCTCAGGGGAATTATGGAGGGTTTGTGAGAAACACGGACCTTTGGTAGTCGCAACCTTTTTTCTTTCTATTAACTAATTTGATACTAATTTTTCTTTCCTACTAACAGTAATAGCACAACCCAACACCGAGCTCTTTTAAATCTCGCTGACTTAATTTTAATTACAGTTTTGGTACCATTAAAAGCAATAACATATTTTTTTTAAAGATTAACCCGAACACTAACAAATTAAAAAAAAACCTTTTTAATTGACACTAGGTATAAAGTAACCAATATTAAGTAAATGTACTCCACAAACTAAAAAACACTAAATTAAATACACTTCAAAAACTGATTAGGAAAAGAACACTGAGTAATCAAAACTAACTGTAACATATTAACTGATCAAGAATAATTATACAACACTAACTGGATTACGCTAAGAAAGACCAGCTAGCCAATGCCAAAACACTAGCTAAGCATCATTACACCTTATCTAACAAAGTCAAGTTGTAAATTAAATATTACTAGATTTAAATTTAAGGAAAAACAGACTAAAAAGTTATTCAGAAAAGAGCTTAAGTAATGAATACTAACTTTAACTTAACAATATTAACTAATCAGCAATAACTATAAAACCATAACTGAATAACGCTAACTATGAAATACCAGCTGGCCAATTCTAAAACACTAGCTAACCATCATTACACCTCATTTAACAAACTCAAGTTGTAAAACATTAGCTGTCTCCATCAACCACTGACAAACTGCGCCCACTACTAACTTATCAATGCCAACAATTAAAGAACACATATTAACCGCTGATAAACCAAAATCAACCTCTAACTACCCACCATTAACCATTTTAACAACCATTTTAATTACTAACTTACCAACACTAACCACTAACTAACCAACCCTAACAACTAATTAACTAACACTAACTCCCCCAGACGTGAGCGCTCGGTAGCGCCGTCTTTTTAATCAGGCCTCAGTGTACTGTGTACTCTGTGACGGTCCCAAGCCCGTGAAAACTGAGAGGGAAAAGACGAGTTCTGTGATGAAGAGAACTGTAGCAATGTGGACAAATTAAAAATGCGCCTATGAAAATAAACATTGTTCCCCCTTTGCCCTCTGCGAAATATAACCCTAAATACTGAGCATACAAGTGCTTCAACTCTTTTTTGACATACTACTACTAAAAAACACTAAATTAAATACACTTCAAAAACTGAAAGGAAAAGAACACTGAGTAATCAAAACTAACTGTAACATATTAACTTTTTCAATTTCCAGTTTTACAAATTTGCCCTCATTTTCTTGATCTTTTCAGCTCATTGTTACTTTTATAACAACAATAAATAATTTTAAAAATAAAGAAGACATGCCTTCTAAACAAAAGTAAAGAGACTACGATAAACAACATTGAGCTGTTTCAGCTTGGGCTGGAGGGTTTACAACAGGTCTTTCGATTTCTTTGTTTGATTCAAAATGTAGCAACCTTATTCGTGTGTCATATCGCTGAGCATTACCAGAATGTTCTTAGAGTAAATCTAGTATTCTCTGCCGACACAGCCAGTATGTATGTGTGTCTGTATGTGTGTTTGTTTGTTTGTTTGCTGTATATCCAGAATCCAGACCATTTTGGACACAACTGAAATCGCGCCGGGGAAAAACAGAGTCATTTTCAGTAACTCCACAGATAAAATGTCTTGTAAAAGGCGTTACTCACTACAAGATCAGAAGCCCTCACCTCTGCGAACTCTTCCCTTTGCCCTCCTCCCCTCCCATCCCATTTCATCAAACCCCTACATTCCCCAAAGGGCACCTTTCCACCCATTCCCCTCCACCCACACTTCTTCTATATGCTTCTACATTCCATTCTCTTCGAATACGTTTTGTTTACTGAGACTTTTAAAAAAACCTTTAAAAAACCCACCAAAAGAACCAACAACCAAGAGCAACAAAAACGAACACACAAACATAAACAAACGTGATCAGTGTCCCCATACCCCGTGACCTGAGAAAGAGAAGAAAACAAGGAAGAAATTCCCCAGTAGTCCGTCAGGAAAACCGAACAATGACCAATCCCAACACTCTCAGTTCAGTCGCCTGTCTCCCCTCGACACCTCTCATTTCCCCACCCCGCACCCCTCCACCCTCTCCCCCCCTTCCAATCCGTTCTCTGTTCTTCATTACTCCAACCCCTCCCATCCCTCACCTGTTTTTAATATTTGAATTATTTTTTTTAAAACAAAACAAACCCAACGTGGTCAGTCTCCCCATTGATCTGAGAGTGAGAAGAAAACAAGGATTATCAAAGAAAGATGAACACAGTTAACATTTCTTTGTCGAAGGCCAGAGAACCCAAACAATGGCCAATCATAACACTCTCAGTTCAGTCGCTCGTCTTGGGATCTTACAATGGGTGAATAAAAGGCGTGGCTTAAGATATGAGGGCCGTCCTATTCCACGTTTGTAGCCACTCGTGATTTAACTTACTGTGTCAAAAAAATGTCATTAAAGGCACATGGGTTATTTCTGCCAACGAAGTACAGGATGTAGTTACTTTTACAATGTGTCCCCGTGGTTTTATGCACTTCGCATAATTTAGCCAAATTTGATCATTTTTTTGCGTAATTTCTAATTTTTTTCCCTTTTTTGCTCTTTGTATAAATTAACAGAATCGCATAATTTCACATTTTTGGGTTCAGTTTGCATAATTACACATTTTTTCTTTCATAAAAAGACGGGGCAGTACAAAGTATATGAAATGTGTTTTGAAAAGTGAAGCATTAATAAATATATTTTTACTTTAATTTTTTTAATTCCTATTATGAGGTATTGGGAGTGGGGGGGGGGGGGGGGCTATGTGGTGGTTAGGTTTCTCTAACTAACCACGTTGTCACAAGGCTTTATTTACAACAAAAAAATAGTACAATTCTGTTCCCGATCTTCCTTCAGCATCTATTCCCGCGAAGAAGCAAGTGAGAAAGGCTGGTCACTGTGTGTCGGTCTTCTTTTGGAGAACAAGCCTTTGATGTCTACTGGTCACTATTGGGTGACCGCCCTTTGATGACTTCTGGCCATTGCAGCGTCGTCTTTGATGTAGACAATGGAAGCCACGTAAAAGCAATGTGGGGGGGGGGGGGGTGAATCTTTGTTGATGTTATTGAAGACAAAAAAAAAACACTCTTAGATAATACGGTGGAAACAAGTAATAAAACCACGACATAATATTGTCAGCCCAATAATATCATCTAAACATTATTGTTTTCTAAAAGCACCGATTAAAAGAACACACAAAATGAAAGCAGGTACAAGCCTTTGGGACAAAGAAAGTACAGTGGGCCCCGCTCACATGTTGCTCCATTAAGCTTTTTCAAATTTGTCAAAATAATTTATTTGTGGTATAAATATTGTTAGAAGGAAAATAAAATTGACATGAGCTTTCTTTAACTGTGAGCTTGTGAGAGTGGCTGGTCAGTGTGTGTCCGCCTTCTTTTGGGAAACCGCCCTTTGATCTCTGCTCGTCATTGTTAGGTGACCGCCCTTTGATGTCTACTGGTCATTTGCCAATGTTGAGTGACCGTCCTTTGATGTCTAGTGGTCACTGTGGTGATGTCTCTGGTGTAGGCAATTAAAGCCGTGTCAAAACGTGCCAACGGTCACAAACATTAATTTTCTGTTTTATTTACATAATAAAATTTAACACGTTATCTTTTGATAGTATTTATTACGTTATCCAATATTTAGCCTTCATTCAAGTTTACTAACGTCATTTTACAAACATCAGTATGTCTGTTTCTATTAAGGGTTTATTTATTTAAATCATTGCCATGAGGCCTCGTTTACTACTAAATACTATACTACTTTGGTTCACGTACTTGCTTCAGCATCCATTCCGGCGAAGAAGCAGGTGAGAAAGGCTGGTCACTGTGTGTCGGTCTTCTTTGGGGAAGCCGCTCTTTGACATGTGCTAGTCGAGGCTGGGTGACCGCCCTTTGGTGTCTGGTAGTTGTTATTGTGTGACTCCACTTTGATGTCTACTGGTCACAGTTGGGTGACCACCGTTTACTGACAGGTGGTCACAGACGGATAACCGCCCTTAGTTTCTGATGGTCATTGTTGAGTGACTGCCTTTTAATATCTGCTGATCTCTACCGGGTGACTGTCCTTTGATGACTGGTGGTCTCTACTAGGTGACTGCCTTTGTTGTCTGGGGGGGGGGGGGGTCAATGTTGGATAACCTCCCTTTGATGCCTACTGGTCATAGCGGCGGAGTCTGTGATGTAGACAATTGATGCCGTGTCAAAGCAAGAGCCGACAATCATTATTGATGTTTATGACAACATCCCCCTTCTCCCACCCCCAAATAAATATTTTGTTTTAAAATGAAAGAAAACAGAAAAAAAGACAAAAACAAACCAAAAACAAACAAAACAAAAACAGCAAAACAAACCCCCCCCCCCCCCCCACTGAATATACACTAGTAAAAAATTAAATATGGAGGTTCATACTATTCTCAACTAATTCACCCGTCAAAGAGCTGTCTAACTTATTAAAATTTACTTATCGTGTTTACATATAACTATTTTTATGAGTAAAGTAAAGTAAAGTTGTTCCCGAATCCGATCTGGACATTGGAGATTGCCATGTTAGTGAGACAACTTACAAGAATTTCGGCCTTTTCTATGAGAACCGATTGAAAACAAAGAAAAACAAAACAAATAGAAAACAAATCAAAGAAGGAAAGACTTGACTGAGAGCATTTTACTTTGAGGGAAAAAAGGTTGCTTGTTCATACTTTTTCAAATTTGTCAAAATAATTCTTCTTTTTTTTCGACATATCGTTTGCAGGAAAACGTGACAAGAGTTATCTTTAACTCTGTTGCACTTTGTACATCATCTGTGAGCTTGTGAGAGTGGCTGGTCAGTGTGTGTCGGCCTTCTTTGGGGAAGCCGCCCTTTGATGTCAGACGGTCATTGTTGGATCACCGCCCTTTGATGTCTGATGGTCATTCTTGAGTAACTACCCTTTGATGTCTACGGGTCGGTTTTGGGTGACCCTCTTTGATGTTTGATGTTCCATGTTGGGTGACTGCCCTTTCATGTCTGAAGGTCATTGTAGAGTTACCGCCCTTTGAATTCTGATGGTCCTTGTTGGGTGACCGCCCTTTGATGTCTGATGGTCATTGTTGGGTGACCGCCCTTTGATGTCCGATGGTCAATGCAGCCGGCGTCTGTGATGTGAACAATGGAAGCTATGTCAAAGCAAGGACCGACAATCGGTGTCGGTGATTTTGAAGACAAATACCCCTCTTTAGGGGGACGCTTGACTCCACTATAAAAGTGAAGGGGTCTGGACATTCCTTCAGTTCAGCATATCGCTCTCGCAGTGACAGGTTGGATACGTCTTGTATTTTCCTCTACAGAATTTCTCGACAACTCGGCAGATATCTAGCATGGCTACTCTCACGTTTCCCGATGTCACCGTCATTCGTGATGGAGACTTTCTGAACAATTTCAACTTGAAGTTTGTGCGTGTCCTTGCCAAGAAGAAGAATTCGCTAGTTTTGGAAGCTTCCATGAAGAACGACGACTCCATTCGTAAGGCAATCAAGAAGATCCCTTACCTGGACAGTAAAGGACGACATCGAGGTCTCGAGGACAGCACCGAGGAGTTGACCATCATGCACAACGTTCAGCACCCGCACCTCATGAAGATGGACTGGGTGGTCACGTGTGACCACTTCCTGGCTATCTATATGCCCCTGTGTTCTCAGGGATCTTTGGATGGATTGCGTCAGTCGCTCCAATGGGACCAAGTGGAACGGGTTTTCGTACAAACCGCCTGTGCCCTGAGATATCTCCACGACCAGCGCTGTGTACACGGGGACGTGAAGCCAGACAACATCTTCCTAGACGCCTCCGGCAACGCCATCCTCGGAGACTTTGGTTGTTCTCAGATCTTACCTGATGGA